GTAAAGCTGATTGTCCAATGTTAGAGGTAAAGGTTACATTGTATTTTATGTACTCGTATAGACAGTTGTGTAGCATACAAATACTTTTTGCAGGTGGAGTGAGTCCATGCAGTGAATCACTGTGCATGTATCAGGAATGATTTTTCATGAAAATGCACTTGTACTTGTACATGTAGATTTGTAAACTTTCAAATTGTAGCTTTTTGAGTAAATTGTGCCTCAGTAGTATATTAGACACACTTTATACAATAGATGTACATGTATTGTTGTAATCCTAGAATGTACCTGTACATTGTACATGTAGATGTACACATTAATGTTGCCATTTTATATTTTTTATTATTAGTCTCAGGCTACATTAACAACAAGTGACATTGTTATCAATAAATTGACACAAATCCTGTCTTACTTGAGGAGACAAGGGTCAAAGAAAATGAAGAAGAAGTAGAATGGTGCATACAGGTTCTAATTATGATAAAAAATTGCATGTACATGTACATTGTACTTATACATGTACATGTAACATTGTACATGTTACCTCATGTACTATACAATAACTTTAAAGCTCTTTTTCGCTGTAATATGTACATGTACATCCATAGTCATTAGCTGTTAAGGACTGTATTTTATTTATAATTTTAGTATATTTCCTGATATGGGCGAATACGATTTCGATGCATCTGCAGTTCCGTCTGATTTATCAAAGAGAGATCAACCGTTATTCACTAAAAGTGAGCCCACACAGGATTATGAAGTATTCCAGTGATGGCCTGTGTCTTGCATGTACATATACATGTACTTCTTTTAATTAGGACATCAAGAAAGCTACTAAAGAATTTGTCAAGGCTATAGGGAAAACGTATGCTGATTCTTCTTCCATTTCAGTGGGGAGGAAAATCCTAACTATACTGTCATATACATGTATGCGTACATGTACTTGGAAGTTTCTGTGGCCTATTGGAGATTTCTTGAAATTTGCTAAATTGTCTGACATTTTTAGCCACAAAATTTTCAGCTTTACTGTACATGTGTATTACTTTATTGTTCTTAGGGCGAGAGGACTCATTCTGATGGTCCATTACCTTCTGGTTGGTCAGCAAGGGAAGTAGATAGACATGGTAAATGGCAGTCATTATTTTACTACATGTATATACATGTACATGTATCTTAATTATTGCCTCCTCAAATAATGAGAATATTTGTAAATGGAAGATGCAGCAGGGCTGCCAATAGGCAGGGGGCACGTGGGGCATTTTGCCCTGGGCCCAATCAAAAGGGGCCCCCAAGCCATGGTCAAAAGTAAAGTACTGTATAGTTTTTTGCTGGAAAAAAATCAAAAAGTCATGACGACTATCTCTTGCTGTGCCATTATGTTAATCACTGTTATAAGAGAGCATTTGTAACAGTATTTAGTAGGGGCCCCATCTAAGTTTTTGCCCTAGACCCCACGTAGCCTATGGGCGGCCCTGGATACATGTACATGTAAATATTGAAACTCATTTGCAAGTATGATGTACATGTACACTTGAGTTACATGCTTCAATAAATTTTATTAAATTATAACCAAATAAATAAAAATGATTTTAATCTTTCATCCACAGTGTTTAGAAGCTCCAGTACTAAGTCGACAGAACCAGTTCTTATGAAGAAAGCAAAAACTGACAATGTTGGATTTGGTGGTTTAGATCAAGATCATTATGCTGAATGCTATCCTGGGTCAGTCCTTAATATTAATATTAATCTAATTACAATATTAAGTAATCTCTTTGTATCATCAATCATTCACTTAATTTTTTGTACATGTACATGTACGTGTGCATCTAACATACATACTTGTATTATCATTATTTGAGGTATTATTACTTCTCTGTGAAAAGNTTGTGCTTGATGAATGTACATTGAGACTGCATGCTGTTATAG